AAAGACAAAAAATAAAATTGAAACTAATTTGATAAGTACTAATTAAAAACCATAGTTAAAAATTAAAAAATTAAAAACGATAAAATTTTCAATAAATTAAAAAATTCCATCCACTTATAGTTTCATACAAAAAACTATTTTATATAACTTTTTCATTTCTCTAGCTGTCTAAACCCTAACTATTATCCATTAGTTTCAAATCACTAAATAAAAAGTTTTATCAAACACTTAATTTATAATAGTTTCAATATAAATAAATTTACCAAATACCTATTTTTAGTGGTTTGGGTAAAATTACTAACTATTACCTCAAAACTGTTATACCAAACGGATCTTAAGTCAAGATATGTATTCGTTTTTGGTTCTTAAGAAATATCCGAAACCTTTAGCCATCCACCTTAATTGTAAAGAGAAACAGAAATAGTAGCAGCCTGGGAAAGAAAAAACATGAGAAAGAGGAGAAAATCAAATGAGAGAAGGAAGGGGCTGGTTAGGTTTTTTTGTGTGTAACATGTTAAGAAATGTGTATTCTTTGATTTATTGTAAATGTAAAAGAAAAAAAAAATTAAATGTTAAAACTTAGTTATATCTGACCTAACAAACCATAAATTTCAACTTTGTGAGAAACAAGTAATGTGTCCACTAAGGTCTGGGTTCAACTTAGTGCTCTTGGCAAAGAGGAGCATTTCACCCGCTAAGTCTACGTTTCAAATCTTGATTCCTCACCCCCTAGATGTTCAAAGAAACCCAAAAAAGAGTTGTCCGCTAATATTGGCTTAGATGGCATCAATGATACATGTTCCTAGATTCGAGTCACGCTAGGTTGAACTATAGTAAGTATTTATTAGGCTTGATGGCATGTCTTGGATCCCGCACCCCATTATCAAGATATGTTTATGAACTTGACCGTGGAGGAGGAGGAGGAGGAGGAGGAAGAATCATCGAACTTGTTAAGGGATTTAAATAATTAATTATGAGAATTAAATTTTATTTAATATTATTATTAAAAAAATTTATTTTACAATTTAAATTATATTAAAATTAAAAAAAAGAAGGGGAGGCACCCTATGACATAACTGCTCACGTACCAAAATGTCATCAACTCAAAAAAAAAAAAAGAGCTTATTTATTTGGTGGTTATACTGACTCATTGTTTGAGACTCAAGAATAGTTTCTTCTTTTTTTCTTTTTTTCCTCTTTTTCGCATGTAAGATTAAAGTCCCTCCCTAGTATATTGTACGTATACAGGGGCTGCAATGAAGGAAAATTTAGAAATATTTACAAAGAGAAATAATAATGTCTTATGAACTGAGGAAGTATCCTGCCAAGCTTTTGGCAAACATTTTAGGCAGTGATGTCAGTAGAGGAGAGGAGAGGGGCCTAGCTGTCCAACTTGAGTCGAGGACATGCTACAAACCACTACTAGTGCTCTCCGTCTTTCTTTGCTGCTTGTCCCATTGGATTTCTGTTCCAAAAAGTAACCCCCCCTCCTTTTCTTTTTTTTTTTGACTTTGATTATACTGATGGATATAAACATGCAGTAGCCAAAATATATATACATATATTTGCATTAAATTCCAATATCAAGCGGGAAACCCCACTACCCAACTGGCTATAATTGCTTTCTTTTCATTTTCAAAAGAAATTGATTGATGTATGGATATAAATATTAGGAGAATGCATTGAATCTGTGTGTAAATGGGGTTTGACTTAAATTCATTTATCACAGATCCTTTTGGGTTGGGACCCCCCATGAAAACTACTACATCCCTTTCCTAAAATTATAGAGTTTCCAACCATTCATCTTTTTTAACTTCATCAAGCGAGTCTATGGTCACACGTCTTATTAAGGTTGATGAATTGATTATACGTCTTATTGAGATCGATAGATTGTTCACTTTATTTATGATCAAATTTTTAGTTATTAACACTTAATAATACTAACTTACTAATCATTATCCTTATATATATATAAAAAAAAAAAAAACCATTCATCCATTTGCTATTGATGATTTAAACCCATTTCATATATATATATATATATATATAACTTTTATATATAAATAAGGCAGAAATTCATTAATAATTTACATATATATATATATATGACTCATCAATTCTCTATATCTCTCTACCCAGCAATTGTTTACAAAATATATGTATCTATATATTTGCCTTGCTTAAAAAGATGCATGATATGTTGGAAATTTTTTTTTTATTATTATATATATCGACCCATGGCCATTAATTATAATTAAGGTATATTGGTCTCATGCTCCTCCTGATCAGCTGCTGTCTTTGGAAGGAATGAATACCATCTTGCCCAAAACAGATAGTTTAGGAAGTTAAGGAAGCTAAGTGCTGCTAGCAACCAGTAGAAAAGATCTAGCCTGTCCTTGTTGAGATCATTGTTGCTAAGCCAACCGCCATTTGATGATGAAGTCATCTTATTCACTAGGGAAACAAGGACAGAGCTCAAGTAGAACCCAAATGAATATGAGCAGTAAGTTATGGCTGTTAGAAAAGCTTGCATCCCTTTCAGTGACTTTGACTGTTTGTAGAAGAACTCAATCAGGCCAACCGCTGTAAGCATCTCTGATAATCCGAAGATTAAGAACTGGGGTGTGAGCCAAAAGATGGACACTATTTTACCCGAATCCACAGCTGCATCCCTTCTCTTCTTCTCCATAAGGGCTGCAGAAATCATGGAAATTGTTGCCACAAACAGCCCTAACCCTATCCGTTGCAAAGGGGAAATTCCAGATTCTTGACCTGTCATCTTTCTTGCAAATGGAACAAACAATTTATCATACAGAGGGACTACCAAAATGAGCATAATGTAAGGGATGGATTGGAGGGAAGCAGGAGGGATATGAAAGGATTTGGTGAGTTTAGTGTCCGTGGCACTTCCTTGTTGGACTGAGAATGTTTGAAGTTGAGCCAAGATAGTATTGAAAACAATGGTACAAGCAAAAATTGGGATGACTGAGATCAATATCTTCACTTGCTCAACTTGGGTGACTGTGCACAATCTCCATGGACTTTCCTCTGTATCACTGCCATCTCCAATCTTGATGCAGGCCTTGTCCAAGAAACTGAAAGACACAGTGTATAGATATATATTTCAATCGGTTAGTCTGGTATAGGTACAACAATAATTATATATATATATATATATATTGTGGATCATGAACTAATCATAAAAAAAAAAAGAGGGTTTTTATTCCAAAAGCTATATATGTACCTGAATCTTTTGGTGTGAAGTAAATTTGATGTATTTTCACTTCCGTGAAGCATCTGTGGATTAGAAGGACAAATTTGCTTCCTCTTTAATATGGCAGCCACAAATACCTGAAATTTAGAAAATTTATTACTACTACTTAAACCAATTTAGCTAGCTTAGCTATATATTAGATGGATCAATTATTATGTCTATATACATCAATTATTAGATGGATCAATTGTTAAGAAGAGTCAGTCTCACCAGACAGTCCACATGTTACTTTTTCTTTAATTAATACACAAGCTAACAAAACTGCACACATAATCAGAAGAATCAAACAGTACCTAATCTATTATATTATAATAAGATTAGGAGTTACTTGAGCAATAGGGGTCAAGATGCTTCCTTGAGGTGGCTTGTTCCTGTAATAGAGGGTCCCAGGAACCAAGCAGATCAATCCCATGGCCATGGCTGCGGCAGAAACTCCAAACCCAACGTCCATCCCAGCATGGGTCTGGATCCATACAAGAAGAGTAAGAGCTACAAGTTCACCAACAGAGAAGGCAAAGTAGGCAGCATTGAAGTAGGTAGAAAGTTTCTTGGATTGGCTGGGATTGGTTTGGCTGAACTGGTCAGCCCCATGAGCAATCATGTTGGGTTTAACACAGCCACTACCCAATGCCACCAGGTAGAGTGCCAGAAAGAATATTAAGGCCTTGAAACCCTTCGCTTCTATGCAGTGGCTGGCATCAGAGAGCATATTGCACTTGGGTGGCTTGAGCTGGGGAATATGGGCTTGGACTGATAGTAATATGAAACCCTACACACACACACATATATATGTATGTTTTTAAATAAATACATAAGACGATGATCAAAAAGTAAAAAGGTAGAGATGGATTGAGTTTTTTTGAATGAATGAAGAGAAGACTACTGTTTAATGTGTATTTTTGAATACATATATATATATATATATATATGTATGTATGTATGTAACAAGTGTAGCATTATCTATTTCAGGGAAAATAAAGGGGATACCATACAAATACATACCGAAAGCTCGATAAAGCCAAAGATAAGCATGGTCCAGAAACTCCCAAGAAAAGAGTCGGAAAGGTAGCCACCGAAAAGGGCCAAAAGGAAGATAGTCCCAACAAAGTTAGTGACTATATTTGCTGACTTTGACAAGGAGTAGTGCATCTCATTTATGACATACGTTATGAGGTTGTTTCCTACTGCAGCAATGGCCATTATCTCAAATGCTTGAAGCCCTGATGGATGAATAATAATAATAAGTCAAAAAATTTTACTGCCTGCGTACGTATCGCTAGTTATGACTATACTATTAACGCAACACAGTTCAGACGGTTCAAGAAATATCAAGAAAATATCTGGGAAATTAATTAGGGAGGAAACGTATATGAGAAGAGTGTTATTGCGTACCTAGAACAAACAGAGCAGCTCTCATGCCCCCATGCTTGTTGGGATTAGAAGCTCTGCCTCTCCAATCAACAGTAGCGGTATCTTTCTCTTGTGCAGAAGTCATCACCTGCCACGTGCTTTCTGCTTTGGTATTCTGTCTTGTTCCCTCCATTTCTCGTCTTGTTGAAATTGAAAGGACAAGCTAGAGAAGAGATTGAGGTATCTATATATATATACTATATAGTAGCAAGAGAAAGAGAGAGAGAATTAGTAATTTGTTGTTGTTGCTGTATTATCATTGGTTTTCTGTGATAATGTGAGAGGAGTAGGGGTAGGAGTAGGAGAGGAGAGGAATTGTCCTGGATTTATAAAGCCCCCACGCCACAGGCCACTGGCCAGCGAAGGCCGAAGGGTGTTTAAGAGGCCAGAAAGAATCCTCTTTAGGATTTCTGTGCTGTAATTACCATAAAAAAACAAAGGGATTTCTGTGCTGTGACATAACGTTAAGCCCCACACGCAGCTTGAGCATGTGGATGGCACTTGCACTCACATGCAACATGCTTTTAGTTTAACTGTTGAGAGAGAGAGAGAGGAGCGTGTAGCGTGGAGTGCAGTGGACTCAGGCTGTGGCTTGACTTTGCTTCTGTTTTCTTTATTTTTTATTAACTTATCGATATATGATAATCATATTAAATTTTAATTAATTTAAAATTAAATAAATCAGATTTTATTAAATTTTTTTAATATTTATTTTTTTGGAGCAAACTGGGAGTATTTATTCAGGGAATGTGTTGCTCCCATTGTTTTCTCAATCCAAACCGTATAAAAAAAAGGGTAAAGTCCAGATTATGCTAATACTAGCCCTTAATGAACAAGAGTCATTAAGGGTATTTAAAAGTTGTACTGAAAGAGACATCTCTGATTTATTAAAGTGAAGCTTA